TTGGATCACCCTTCTGAGGTGCTATAAATTTTCCAATGTACTATAGCAGAAGCCTTGAAGTCCTGCTTTTAGACTACTCTGGCATCATGCATATGTAAGCTTCCAGCCCCTATCTTCCTTTTAATTGCTATGGTCTTAACTTTTTTTTTTAATCAGTCTAAAAGAGTACACAGCCATAAATATCAAGGCCTCAGTTTCCCATCTGTAATATGGGCACAATGGTATCCCTATAGATGTGTACTGAAAATATAAATTAGTTATAATATTAACATAGTTCAGATGTGATGGTGTAAGTATCACACAACAGACTGTGAGAAAGATTGATTAAAGAGACATTTAAATTAACCATAATGCCGTACTCCATTGAGTAGCAAGAGTTCCTTCCACTGGAACGAGGACCAATAGGTCAATATCCTTTAAGCTTAGAGAGGCTGGGTTTGACAGTCACAGAGGCTGATTTGGACTCCAATCAGTCCTGCTCTCCCGACTCTCTCCAAAAGAATACTTCACGTGTTTTCTTTTAAATAATTCTCCCGAAATAAATTTCACCTTGATCAAATCTAGAAGAGCACAAGACACAGAAGAAGGCAAAAAAACCTGCATGAAAACAAAGAGTTGAGACCTGGGGCATGACAGATGGCATATAGGGAACACATACTGAAGACTGTACAGTGGAAATTAAAAGTATAGACATGAAGTGACATCTCAAAACAGCTCATCACATTGAAGCAAGGCTCCTTTCACATTTCTGAACATAGGACATGCACTGGCTTCCCTTAGAGTGCCTGGGATGTAGAGGAAGGATGGAAATATTAGCTTAGATTTGCCTCAAGAACACAGCTGGATAATGTATTAAAATAGCTCTTCTTCCATACATGTTTATATATGTAATGTTTATCCATTATGTTTATTAATAAAATGAGAAGTTTGAGGTCTTGGGGGTTTTTCTTTTTCTTTCATTTCTTTGTTTTCAAGATGACAGAAGCTCTTTTTCTATTTCATCCCTGCTGCTGTACTGACCATGTGAGCTTTGCCCCAAGCTTTTTTCTGCTGGACAATACCAATTTAATTTGTAATGAAAACATTGCAACTCAGACTATACTACCTACCAGCATATTGATTATTTTTCACCAAACAATTACAAGGAAATCAAAATCTCATCTCTTCCTCTGCTTTCTGAGCTAGTTTTTGATTGATTGTGGGGTTTTTTTCCCCATGTTCACCTTTTATTTCTGTACATAAATGAGTTGAAATGTAGGCCAGGATGTCCATAAAAGTTGTACAGCTTTACCAAAAATTTTTTATATAGTAATATCCGTGCATTCTTACGTATGCATACATGTATGTTATAATTATTATTATTACATGTATGTAGGTATGTAGGTAGGTATGATTCTGCTGATGCACATGCACTTAATACATGATATATATAGGCTACTATTTAGAGAAAGTGTATGAATCATAACAATATAAATCTCATTATAACAGAAAGTGTATTCACATAGTGAATGGTAACAGTATTTTGGTTTTAAAAAATCACACTCTCAGTCAAAGTTGTTCCATGTTATAACCATGCAGTTCAGATCCTAACACCTTTTATCCCTTAAATCAAACACATTTTTTAAAATTAAAAGAAGTTAAACTCATCTGAGATGAATACAAGTAATTAAAATCATATCCAATTTTAATTCAGAATAATTTCTTTATGCCATAAATCAGACTTAACATTTCCTATATATCATCTCTTTCCACCATAGCCAGAGAACTCATTTTACATGTTTTTATAATGACTCCTCTGGCATGGATAGGAGAGGAAGAAATCTAGATGAAGGCACCAGTGTCTCTCAACTTCCTTCCATGCAACAAATTATGTTGTCTGGTATAAAACAGCAAAACTCAGAAGACCATTTTGGAAGTCTATTTGAAAAATTCTCCATCAGCAGCTACTGGTGGAATTGTCTGTTTTCTAAAGAAAATCCACACCTAGCTATTGGGGGGAAAAAAAACTTGTTCTTTTTGGAATGTAGTAGTTGAGGGTATGACAAACTCATTTCTGCAGTACATCAGGTTGTCCAAATACTTCATATTTTGCCTAAGATTTTTAGTTTAATCTTGACAAATAAGAATCTATTGCTCCTTTGGTTGCTTTGGGTTGATGGCAAGTCTTTGGTCTATTGGACGTGTCGGTGGCAAGTTGAATACGAGTCAGCAGTGCCCTGGCAGCCAGGAGGGACAACCGTGTCCTGGGGGGCATCAGGCAAATCATCACCAGCTGGATGAAGGAGGGTATCGACCCACTCTGCTCTGCACTGGGGTGGCCACAACTTGACTTTTGTGTGCAATTTTGGGCACCTCAATACAAGAAAGATGTGAAACTATTAAGTGTGTCCTGAGGAGAGTGACCAAAATGGTGAAAGGCCTCAAGGGCAAGACTTAGGAGGAGCAGCAGAGGTCACTTGGTTTGTTCAGCTTGCAGAATAGAAGGCTGAGGAAGCATCCCATTGCAGTCTACAGCTTCCTGAAGGCAGGCAACAGAGAGGGTGGTGCTGATCTTTTCTCTAGTGCTGGTGAGACACGAGAGAGTTGCATCAGTGAAAGTTCAGATTGGATGTTTGAATAATATTCTTCACTGAGATTGTGGTCACTCATTGGAACAGGGTCCCCAGGGCAGTGGGCAGAGCACCAAACCTGTCAGAGTTCATGGAGCATCTGTATGACAACTTTAGTCAGATGGTTTAGTTTTAGCCAGCCCTGTGAGGAGCTGGGAGTTGGATCCTTATGGGTCCCTCCCAACTTGACATATTCTCTTTAATAATTCTATGATTCTATGATACTCAGCAGTTGACTATGCATGTCAGTGTGGGGAAGCTGAAAATAGATGCTGAAGGAAAAGTCTGGATGCCAGAGACTAGCTAACATGAAAAATCTATATATGCTTGCTGAGATGACCCCACTAAACAGCCAGAGAGGAATAAAAAGGAAGATCTGCAATGGCTGGTGACAGATTGCTAAATGTGACAAACTGGAGGCACAAAGGAATTTACTTTGCAGGTATAGAAATAGAGTGGTCAATCTAGATTTGCTTGAATTAGCTTGTTCGAAAGTGAATTGGTAGAACACAAAATAGCATGTGGAACTGAGGGTCTTCTAATGACCAATAATGAATGTGGGGGAACAGCCTACAACTGTAGACTGTATGTTTACAACATACCTAGTGGTCTGCACCCTTCAGGAAGTGCTAAGCAGTCTTGAGTATCTATCAAAGATACAGATTTTGGAGAACATTATAGTTCTAGAGAAAGGACCTGAGGGATAAAAAAACCCAGCTCAAAAAGGCTATCTTGTTATGATGCTCTACTTGCTAGAATATTTCACTCTTAGAGATGGATTGCCCCTTCAAAATACTTAATTATAGCACTACAGATAATCAATAAGAACAGGAAGGGGTGAGAGTAATGCACAAGGAATTATGGAATTGGTTTGCTTGTTTTAAGGTTTAGACCATTCTACTTGTTTGAAAGACTGCCAATAATTCTGTTGATGAAAATTAGTGGCAATTAAGAAAAATGGTTTTCCTGTCGCTTTTGTTGTTGTTTTCTTTTTTGCTCTTCCTGTCAAATGGTCCTGTTTCAAGAAAATTAGCTGTTCAGAAAATCATTCCTGCATGGCAATGGTTTCTTAAATGTAAATCCCAATTTGACATTCCCTTGTAGAACTTCCTTAGCTTACAAACACTAGTGAGAATCTACAAAAGGGGACCAAATTTTCTCACATTTCTGCTAGCTTTCTTTTGGTGTTCAGGAGGATGCTGAACCCATAGATCTCAGTTAAAACCATGAATCCTTCCTACCTCTGCAAGAGAAGTTGTGGATGCCCTGTCCCTGGAAGTGTTTAAGGCCAGGTTGGATGGAGCTCTAAGCAATCTGGTCTAGTAAAGGTATCCTTGCTCATGGAAGGGGTATTGGAACTAGATGATCTTTAATGATGACTCATCCTAGTCTTTTTTCCTTCACATGATTTATTATTCTACTTTCTCTAAAGCCATGTTTTCCTTTTCTTGGAATACAATTGAGCTGGTATTGGAGGTTGTTATGAAAAGGTCCATGCCCATGAGCCAGCAGGTACCAGGTTCAGATTTGACAGTGAAATCCAGCCCAGCCCTGCATGTGCTGCCACACTCAGGGACTCAGGCCCAGGGCTGGGGTCTGCTTGACTCCCTGAAGGTAAATTTGGGTGAGACAGAATTATGGAGTCACAGAATCACAGAATGGGTCAGGTTGGAAGGCACCACAGCAGGCCATCTGGTCCAACCTCCCTGCTTTAGCAATGTAGTCCTAGGGAACATTGCACAGGATTGTGTCCAGACGGTTCTTGAATATCTCCAGTGAAGGACATTCCACACCCTCTCTGGGCAATCTGTCCCAGTGCTCGGTCACCCGCACAGCAAAGGAGTTCTTCCTCATATTGAGGTGGAACTTCCTGTGCATCAGTTTCGCCCACTGCCTCTTGTCCTACTGCTCGGCACCACTGAGAAGAGCCTGGCTCCATCCTCTTGGCACCTCCCCCCTTTAGATATTTACACACATTAATGAGGTCCCCTCTCAGCTGTCTCTCCTCAAGGCTGAACAGGCCCAGATCCCTCAGCCTTTCCTCGTAGAGGGGACGCTCTAGTCCCCCAATCACACCCTCAGCCCCTCCGCTGGGGTCCCCTCGGTCCCGCCGGGGGCCGCTCCGGGGCGGTCGCTCCCCGCCCCCGGTACTGCGGCGCGGCCGGGACGCGGCTCCGGGGCGGCAGAGGGCGCTGCGCGGGCGGGCGCGGACCTGGGCGCGCCGCTCCCGGCGGCGGCGGCGGCGGCGCAGTTCCAGTTCCTGTGGCTGTTCCCGTTCCCCTCGGGCAGGGCCGGGCGGCGGTCGCGTCTCGTCCTCGCTGCCCCCTCCTCCCCCTGCCTCGGAGTAGTCGGCGCCGGTGGCGGGGAGGGCGGGGAGGGAGCGCGGCGCCGCCGCATGCGTGGCTGATGGAGCTGGGCTCGGGGCTGCCGCAGCGCAGGGCGGGGGGCGGCGGGCTGGACCTCGGGGCGGGCTCGGCGGCGGGGTCGCCGGCGCTCTCCGGGGCGCAGTCCCGCCGCAGGAAGCAGCCGCCGCGCCCGGCCGACTTCAAGCTGCAGGTGATCATCATCGGGTCGCGGGGGGTGGGCAAGACCAGCCTCATGGAGCGGTTCACCGACGACACCTTCTGCGAGGCCTGCAAGTCCACCGTGGGTAAGGGAGCGCGTCCCGCCCCGCCCCGTCCCATCCCGTCCCGTCCCGGGGAAGGGGCTGTCCTGCCCCCGGTGCTCGCAAGGCCGGGCCGTGGGAACGCGGGGCTCGGTGCGGCGGCCGCCCTTCCCCGGCCCCTCTCCCGCCTTCCCGCTAGTGTGGGCCCCCTCCACGCGTGCCAGGCATTTCCCTCCCAGACCTTTCCCCGCCCCGGGGCGCGCAGTGGTCCCCGTCCCCTTCCCGCCCAGCCTCCCGCCCAGCGGAGCGGCGCTGGGTCTCGCCGGGTGAGTTCCCGGGCCGTGGTAAGCTCAGGGGGGTTGATGGTGCCGAACTTCACGGCTCTGCTTGGACGGATCGTGGGTGCCCTAGTTATCGCTGGAAGTTCTGAGAAGGTGCCAGGTGTCCAGTTTCAGCCTTACTAGCGGCAGACGGTTTAAAGGAAAATAGTAGGGATGGTTGGTAAAGCAGGTTTTGGGGCTTAAGTCTTAGATGTTGCGTGTAAGGAGACAGAAGTATTTCAGGAGTTGAAAAGTTGCTGGTTGTGTATGCAGCGTACTCTTCTCAGTGTGTTCAACTACTTTTCCAGACCGCAGTTAAATTAACTCCAGATGGCTGTTACGCCTTCTTCAAGAAGCCTTCTGTGATGTTAGGTCCGAGGAAGTTTTGTTTTCTGAAGAGTAGTATCTCTTGAGCACACTGTGCGTTTGGCTCCTCACACAACTCAAGAGAACCTCCTAGTTCTGTAGTGTGCTGTCTTATTCATGGTTTAGTCATCTGTATGAGTCTTGAAGGTAATTTAATGCCTCCTGTCTTTTAATACGCAAATGTGTAAAGGTAGGAAAACAAGCTAGTTAGCCTGCATTGTTATTTTAGTCCTGTCCTTGGAGTTGAACTCTTGAGTATTGCAGCAAGGAGGTTGTTAAAGTCTGTGTCACTGGAAAATACATGTGCTTGGCTTAATTGGAGCTTGGAATGTGAGGAAACGTCTGATGAAAAGTGATTGTATTGCCTTTTAGAAGCTGAGTTATTAGTATCCAAAACCATCTTCCTGTGACAAAGTAATACACAGTTAGCTATACTTTCATTTTAATGTGCGTTTTATCAGATCTTTAATTCTTTCCTAGGTCCTCTAAGAATCCAAATCTAATAGTGCGAATTGCACCACTAAATTCTTTGGTTTGAATTTGTTAACACTGTAGAAGTTAGAAAGACGGTAATAGCATATCTGAGGCATTAATCCTCAAAGGATGTGTTGTAATGAAGAAATGCTGATGGATTCTGTAGATGGGCAGATTTAATTAAATTTATGGTACAGCTGAATTAGAACTAACCATGGAATATTTTCTTTATAAATACTCCAGGTCTAAACATTGATTTGAGCTCTCCTGTATCTTTGGCTTGACCTATATTAAGGGTTCCTTCAAGTCTGGGCTGCTCTCTGTAACTAGGGCTAGTTTCCTGCTGTGAATCTTGGAAAGTTGCTCTAGACCCTGGTCCAGACTTCCAGGCTGATCCCTTGTAAGCAAAACTGACTCCCTAAATAACTGAGACAGTGACTGAAGCAGAGAAGCTTCCTTATTTTAGAGAAGAAACAGGAAATAAGTGGTGATATGCTGCTAGACAGAAGGTTACATAATGTTTGGTGTGCAAAGTGTGCCAACATAAAGCAGCACAGGGAAATCAACTTGTGCCAAAATACATGTAGAAGGACTTGACAGTAATGGCATTCTTTCAAGGTCCTCTGACTAAACTTGAGAGCTGTTGAGATTCCCCCAGATCCTTTGGCTGCTGAGTGAAAGAGCTTTTCACAGTCAGCTTGCACCCTGCTTTTTTTGCGTTATAAGAAAAAGTAATCTCTGCTGTTTACATTTAATGTAGATTGAATATAACTTGCATTCCAAAACAACCTGTGTTCAGCCTTTGATACACAGTTCATATCATAAAGCTCTTCCCCTGTCACCACTTAACTGCAGTGGTTTTCAAGAATTGCAAGTGGAGAATGTTTTTAAAACATTGGTGAAAACCCTGTGACTGATCCAGTTTTAGAGGAACTTATGTAAACTGAATGTATCTTGAGATTAAATTTTAAAAAAACTATGTAACCAAACAACTGCAATTTATTGAACCTACTCTATGTTAGCAAAGCTCTGTGTATAATGAAGTGCTGGAATACATGCTTACTTCCTTACCTTGACATTGATGGTCTCAACCTGCCTTTGTTGCTTTTATACTAAACCTATGGATGTATAGGACAAACAGAAAAACATTTAACACCTCGACCTTTTGGATGAAAGTGCACAGGCTACTTGGAAGTCTTCTCTAACAGCGTAAGAATTGCAAACCTCCTAAAACTTTTCTGTCTCCTGTCCTTAAGTGCTGTTTAGGATAATCCTGCTGTGTCACTGAAAAGTGGAGTGTTTCTGTTGAAAAGGGGATCTAGGGGTTCAATTAAGAGAGATGCAGTATTTTAATGCTAACTTAGGAATGGACTACATTGCCAGATTGGTAAAGTAAATTCTGTAATGAAAACACATCAACGTGTCTTCAGCCGCATCTCAGATACTGAAGTTCTTTGAAAGTGTTCAAAAATAGCTTGGCAGATTTCAGCACATTATTCATAATGGCACACAAAGCACTGTTGATCTAAAATTCTTTTGATGTATTTATTTTGGGCATTAAATTAGTTGCATAGAATATTGTTTCTATTTAATCTGCTATTTACATAGCACTGAGAATACTCAATATGCTCAAATATTTACTGATTTTCGCAAAATGTGAAATTACTTTCTCCATGCCAGTGTTAAATCCAGAGTAGTTAACTGCTTTTCTGCAATGGAATAATGCTTGTATGAGGGTATATTGACATTGTATTAGCTTTGTCAACAAACATAAAGCTACACTTTTTCTTATGAAATGAAGTTTGATCTCCATTTATTATTTGTTGCCTGACCCCATGCACCTGCATTATTGACACAGGAGCAGAATCCAAAACTATGACTTGGAGGGTTTTCCAGCTTAACAGTTGAGACCACATATGCCAAATATGGCATGAAAAAGGATAATGGATAAATTCTCATTGCCACATTTGTAAGAAGATTTGAGGATTGGAGCAAAGGAAAAGTGTTTAATTTTAATCTCGGCTTCTTCCACACCTTCCCCCTCTTATCCTAACCCAGGTAGTTCTTATCCTAAAAGAAATACATTGTAATTCAGATCTCCATAGTAGTGGAGATCTTTATAATTTATGAAACAATTTTTTCAATGGTACTATTTCACTCTTCTTTTCATCAGAGTACCTTTATTTAATATTTAATGGCCTCTGTTCTCTTCCCAGTATCTGTCCAACTACAACTCAGTCTCATGACTGTGTGTCCTACATCATCCACCAAGTCTTAGTTCATTCCCAGTCTTCCTACTGTTTTTCTTCCGTGACAGATCTGCAGAATTCCTGTACTCAGCAGTATTTATTTCCTGTCCATCTATTTCTGCCCCAGGCATTACACTTCTCTCTGGGATTTATTCTCTGAACCTGAGGTTCCTGCTCTCCCAAACTGGTGTCTCTACTGACTCACCTCTTGGGATGCTGATTCTCCTGGTCCCTCAAATCAAGGTTCTTTTCTCAGCTTTTATTTTACATGCTGGCTCAGTATGTTAAATTTTCTTAAGATCTAGTTTTATCTTCCAGCTCTTTTCAACCAGGTCTAAAAGTATTCCAGGAAAGAGGCCTTGGCCCTTGGTAATACCAATGCAATGTCTGTGCCTCGTGCATTGCTGGCTCTTGTAGCAGCTCTTCATAGGAAACTACAGTACCACTTGTAGTAAACACTGAAGCTTCCTTCTGTCCTGTTTTACAAGCAAAATCATAGGTGGAGTTTGTAATGGGAAGGTTTGTTGTGGATCAGGATGGGAATGTGATGACCTGTGATCTGTTCTGAACTAATTGCAGCCCGAGGGATCCAGATCAGTGACATGTAAAGGCACTGTGGGGCGAGACATCTTTGACTTCACAGAAATGCTCTTTGACCTTGTTTCACCTTCATGTGAAATGGTATGGAGGTTGGCAACTCGTGAGATTTACAGAGGTCCATAGCTTTTGCTCCCAAGCGGTATTTTCCATATCAGTTATTTTTAAAATACCCCTCTCCATGCAAAATTCCTAATGTCCATCAAATAAACAGTAGCAATGGTGAAAACTTTAGCTTTTATCAGAGTAATCTTAAGTAAGGCAGCTTCTGGTTTTAATATGTATATACATACATATATACTTTTATATATATACATACATATATACTTTTATATATATGTATACATATATTTGGGGCTTCTGTGATGATTGAAACCCTTTGTTCATTCTTTTTATCCTCAAAAAATGTGGACTAACAACATTAAGTGTTCAGTTTCATTGCCATAAACTTGTCATAGAACATAATTAAATTCCCTTCAAAGTATCAGCCTATTCATTTTAAAAGTACCTATTTGTAATTTTTCAGAACTGGATTTTTTCCAGCCTTCCATAAGATGGCACTGAAAGTCTAGTTGGGGTGGGGAGAGGGAAGAAAGAGTAGAAATACATGTCTCTTGCTTTACCACATCATGGCAAAGTAACAGTAAGATGTTCTTGCTTTAACCCAAAATCAACTCTATACTCAGCATGAGAAATTTTTGCAGTTGTACAAAAAAAAAAATAAAGAAAGTTCTGATCAGGCATAAATATTTCTGTGAGAATTGACAGTTCTTACTGACTGTTCTTACTTTTTCATATCCAAGGTGTTAATACATCTGGTTTTATGTGTTGGCTTTTTGATTAGTGCAGAATAGTGTAAATAAACCAAACAAATACGTTGTTAATGGTGTTCTGCAGTGTCTTGCCAAACTATAAACAGGGGAGAGCAGGAGTCTGGAAGCTCGAACAGAAAACAGTTTTGTCTTACACAAAACCTTCAGATAATTAGGGAACGTGTGTGAAACTCCTTGTTTGTCTTAGGAAATGCAACTTTTGACAG